GGTGACCTTAAAGTTCTTGAAAAATCTCGCGAAAGGGCTCTGCTAAGATACAGAAAAACGGTTTTTGACCCTGGCCGCGCGGGCATTGGACCCGAGATGCTGATGTTCCGGGACAAAGTTCACACGGACACGTGCTAGTTACTGGTGGTGTTAAAAAGGTCCAAAACGGTCGCTACAGGGCTCTTCTTGGACCCGAGATGTTGATATTCCGGGGAAAGTTCACATGGACACGTGCTACCTGCTGGTGGTGTTAAAAAAAAGGTCTAAAACGGTCGCAAGAGGGCTCTTCTCCCCATTCGAAAAGCGGTTTTTGGCGCTGGCCCGCGCGGGATTGGACCCGAGATGCTGATGTTCCGGGACGAAGTTGACATGGACACGTGCTACCTGCTGGTGGTGTTAAAAAGGTCTAAAACGGTCGCAAGAGGGCTCTTCTCCCCATTCGAAAAGCGGTTTTTGGCGCTGGCCGCGCGGGGATTGGACCCGAGATGCTGATGTTCCGGGACGAAGTTGACATGGACACGTGCTACCTGCTGGTGGTGTTAAAAGGTCTAAAACGGTCGCAAGAGGGCTCTTCTCCCCATTCGAAAAGCGGTTTTTGGCGCTGGCCGCGCGGGATTGGATCCGAGATGCTGATGTTCCGGGACGAAGTTCACATGGACACGTGCTACCTGCTGGTGGTGTTAAAAGGCTCTAAAACGGTCGCTAGAGGGCTCTTCTCCCCATTCGAAAAGCGGTTTTTGGCGCTGGCCGCGCGGGGATTGGACCCGAGATGCTGATGTTCCGGGACGAAGTTCACATGGACACGTGCTACCTGCTGGTGGTGTTAAAAGGTCTAAAACGGTCGCTAGAGGGCTCTTTCCCCATTCGAAAAGCGGTTTTTTGGCGCTGGCCGCGCGGAGATTGCACCCGAGATGCTGATGTTCCGGGACGAAGTTCACATGGACACGTGCTACCTACTGGTGGTGTTAGAAAGGTCTAAGACGGTCGCTAGAGGGCTCTTCTCCCCTATCGAAAAGCGGTTTTTTTGCGCTGGCCGCGCGGGGATTGGATCCGAGATGCTGATGTTCCGGGACGAAGTTGACATGGACACGTGCTACCTGCTGGGGGTGTTAGAAAGGTCTAACACTGTCGCTAGAGGGCTCTTCTCCCCATTCGAAAAGCGGTTTTTTGGCGCTGGCCGCGCGGGGATTGGACCCGAGATGCTGATGTTCCGGGACGAAGTTGACATGGACAAGTGCTATCTGCTGGTGGTGTTCAAAAGGTCGAAAACGGTCGCTAAAGGGCTCTTCTGCCTATTCGAAAAGCGGTTTTTTGGCGCTGGCCGCGCGGAGATTGGACCCGAGATGCTGATGTTCCGGGACAAAGTTGACATGGACACGTGCTACCTGCTGGTGGTGTTAAAAAAGTCTAAAACGGTCGCTAAAGGGCTCTTCTCCCCTTTCGAAAAGCGGTTTTTTGGCGCTGGCCGCGCGGGGATTGGACTCGAGATGCTGATGTTCCGGGACGAAGCTCACATGGGCAAGTGCTATCTGCTGGTGGTGTTCAAAAGGTCGAAAACGGTCGCTAAAGGGCTCTTCTGCCCATTCGAAAAGCGGTTTTTTGGCGCTGGCCGCGCGGGGATTGGACTCGAGATGCTGATTTTCCGGGACGAAGCTCACATGGACACGTGCTATTTGCTGGTTGTGTTCAAAAGGTCGAAAAGGGTCGCTAAAGGGCTCTTCTCCCCATTCGAAAAGCGGTTTTCTGGCGCTGGCCGCGCGGGGACTGGACTCGAGATGCTAATTTTCCGGGACGAAGCTCACATGGACACGTGCTACCTGCTGGGGGTGTTAGAAAGGTCGAAAACGGTCGCTAAAGGGCTCTTCTCCCCTATCGAAAAGCGGTTTTCTGGCGCTGGCCGCGCGGGGACTGGACCTGAGATGCTGATGTTCCGGGACGAAGTTCACATGGACCGGTGCTACCTACTGGTGATATTAAAAAGGTCGAAAAAGGTCGTTAAAAGGCTCTGCTGGGACAGGAAGAAGCGGTTTTCTGGCGCTGGCCGCGCGGGAACTGGGTTGAGGGGGCGTAGACCCCGAAATGTCAGTCGAGAGTTATTATAAACAACTGTTGAGGTAAAAATTTTTTTCTTGAAATGTCGTCTAAGGGGTCTCCTGGGCATAGAGAGAGTGGTTTCTTGGCTCTGGCCGCGCGGGGATTGAGCCGAGTGGGCGTAAACTGTGAAATGTCAATCAAAAGTTATGAGATCTAGCTGCTGGCGTCAATAGTTTTTCTGTTAAAGGTCGTTGAGGGGATCTCCTGCCCATAGAAAATGGTCTTTTGCAGTGTGGCCGCGCAAGACTGGGCCCGAGCGAGCTGAGACGTACATGCGCAGTTTCGCCTCGCCTTACCCTTCGAGGTGGTACCACTTTTTGGGGTCGGTCGAAAAAAAAAAATTTTTCGAATTTTGGCAATTTTTTTCCAAGTGTCCTCAGCTGTGCGGACAAAAAGACGTTGA